GGAATATTATAAGGGATATTAAGGGGGATACTAGGAGTTTAGACTATAGCTCATATAGGGTTTAGGGTTCAGGGTTCAGGTTTTAGGGTTTTGGGTTTAGGATTTAGGGGGATAGGGTCCTATAGGGTTTAGGGTTTGGGGTCTACAGTCCTTAAAGGGAGTTATATCGGGACTTATATTGGGGACTAGTATAGGGTTTTTAAGGGGGATGCTCGGAGTTTAGACAAAGGCTCACCTGATTTCCAAGGCTTAAGGGGTTTAGGGCTCAGGGTTTAGGCTTAAACGGGTTTTGTTTCTTGCGGGGATGGGGAGGCACAGACTTTGGAGGCGTTTTCCCGAACAGTGTGGCTACCAGTAGGGTCTTCTTGTCATGGAAATAAAAGACCTGCAGCTCCCCGTGGCAGAGTGCAACCCCCGCGTGATTGAAACTTGTATGCTTTTCATTTGTCAAGCTATGTTCCTGTGACAACTTCCTACAAGAATCATCAGAGTTCTGCTGAGGGTCTGCTTCAAGAGGTAAAGCTCCATTGCATCAAGGGACAATGAGCCGACAGATCCTTGCGTGTCTGCGTTTCAGCATAGCTCAGGTCCACAACAAGAACCTGGACACAAACTTCCGTCACGACGTCAACGGCGACCATAACTTCGACTACTGCCTCAAGCAGCACCAGCAGCACCAGCACCACCAGCACAAGCACAGCTAGCAGCACGACGGCATCCTCCCAAACTGCCACTACCAGCTCCACCACCACAACGCAGCCTGCGCATGCTACCACAACATCTCTGATCTTACAGATGACCCAAACCAGCACAGTCTTTGACGAAACGGAGGTAGAGATCACTTCCAGCACATCAGCACTTGATACTACCTCAAGCACCAGCCCCGTTCAGAGTAGTTCAGTCACAAAATCATCGTCCACTTCCACAGGCACGTTGACATCAACCGCAGTGCCGACTGTAAGTAGCACGAGCACAACACTATCTCTGACGAAGACCAGCAGCCCAAGTACCACAGCTTCCCCAAAATTATCCTCGAGCGCTACGTCCAGTTCATCAACATCAACTTCATTTACAACGAGTGCAACAGCGCCTTCATCAACGTTTCGCACAACCACCGGCAAGACATTCACGTCCACAAGCGGTTCTTCCTCCAGCACATCCACCACCAGCAGCAGGAGCAAAAGCTCGTCTTCTTCATCCTTCACATCCGGCACAAGCACTACAAGCTCAAGCGTCCAGACCACAAGCACCAGTAGTACTAGTGAGAGCATTGGTACTCCAACAAGCACTACGACCAGCTCAAGTGGCACATCCACATCATCAGCTGAGGCGTGGACACAGAGCAGTAGTAGCATAACCTCCACCACAAGCAATACTGACACATCCTTCAGTTCCACGTCCTCAAGCTCATCTAGCTCGACTACTGGTAGCTCCACATCTTCTGCCACATCCACAACGCGTAGTTCGCCCATGCCGTCCACAACTACATCCACCAGTTCAACAACATCCTCAAGCAGCTCTGCTACGTCATCTTCCACATCTGGCTGGTCGATGAGTTCTACAAGCACGTCATCAACAAGCACTTCATTGTCAAGGATTTTTTCTAGCAGCTCGACGTCGGCAAATTCACTTTCTTCAACCACAGCCAGCACGAGTTCCAGCTTAACCACCAGCTCGACCAGCTCTTCCGCACCCACGTCCAGCACAACGTCATCGTTTTCCGCCAGCACCTCAACTTCCACCAGCACAGCCTCTTCTTCTAGCTCATCCTCGAGCGCCA